CTGCTGGCAGCGGGTAGCTGGGAGACTGGGCAGAAATCCAGGTAAGTCATACGACAGGACTCGACTAGACAGTGCCCGCTACCCAGTTAATTTGGGGATTATGCCGCGTTAACCAGGGGTGTCCTAAGACGATAGGCGCTAAGGGGAAAAAAAATGAAATGGTCTCTTGGTGATTGGCAGAAACGGTGAGACTCACCGGGATGTTGGCTCGAAGGATCTTGGAGAGGATGTGACCATCCAGGGCATAGATGGTGGGAGGGTCTCTTAGCACTTGAAGAGGAATGCCATGATTGATAGCCCAGTCCTCATCCATGAAGTTCCCCTCTGCCCCTGAATCAACAAGGGCCGCACAGGGAAAAGAGGAGCCCCCGCAACGTAGGCAGGCCTCGAGGAAGGTACCCTAGTACCCTAGTGTCAGTCTGCTAAAGATGTTCAGCATGTTGCCCGTAGTTTCATGGGCCATCTGTTGGCTTCAAGGCCAAATTAGATTTTAGCTATTGATTTTACTATGCTTGAACCTTCTCGTTCAGGCATTGAAAATATTTTAGTAATGACTGATGTTTTTACTAAATACACCCTGGCTGTCCCTACACGGGAACAACGTGCCGAGACTGTGGCCCAGGTTCTTGTTGTGGAGTGGTTCTATAAGTTTGAGGTTCCTGGTCGGATTCATTCTGACCAGGGCCACAACTTTGAATCCTCCCTTATCCAGCAGCTCTGTCGCATCGTACTGGCTCTGCTTTGGTGTTGCGGTTGTCTGCATTATCCAGTTTCTGTTAGTGTCAACCTTTGCTTCTATACTGTTCAGTGCTCACAGGGCAGAGGCCCTGTCAATTTAATGCGGCTGACTGCTGCAGTGTCCGGTATGTATAAATGAAACATGTTTAAGGGTGTCAGGCTTCATATATTTGAATTACCCTTATTTAATGACGTTATCGTCTCTTTTTTTTAGTAATATGTTGGAGGGGTCCTGCTGCAGTGCATGTGGTTTAGTCTGAACATCAGTACCCAGAAATAAGACAAAATTAAAATGACATCGAAGCTTTTCTGAAGACGGTCGGTTCTTTTCAAAGATACATTCATGTTAAAACATTGGCGCCGCATTTTAATTTAAAATTTTTAATTTTAAAATTTACCCGCTGCCGAGTCCTATGAGATGGGGAAGAGGTAGCTCTCTCTTTTACTGGACACCTTGCGGCAAAATGCCCCAGAGCACCACAATACATGCAGAGACCCCCCGTAATGCAGCGCTGACGCTCCGCAGCAGAGATATGGAAACCCCCTAGCTGCATGGGCTCGGGTTCAGATGTGGCCACTACCATAGGTGGAACGGCAGGTGAAACCACCCGTTGCTCAGGAACGGAGATGCGGGCTCGGTGGCGCGTCTTAAAGCGCTTGTCGATCCGGATGGTCAGTTCAACCAGCTGGTCCAAGCGGGATCTCCCCAGAGAGACCCTCCAGAAAGCGGGCAGTGAGGGCTGGCTCGTTACACTCACAGGTGGCCGCTAGGGTGCGGAACTTGATTGCATAATCGGCAGCAGACCGCCTACCCTGGCGAAGTGTGGCTTGTTGTCAAGATGCCTCGAGGCCATAAACGGAGCGGTCAAACACCTTTATCATCTCCTCCTTAAACGAAGAGAATCACTCGCAGTAGTCTGCCTCCGACTCCCACACTGCCATTCCCCAGTCACGAGCCTGCCCAGTCAGGAGAGAGAGTAAAAAAAGCTACCCTTGAGCGATCATCGGCATTAGTAGGTTGGAGGGAAAAGTCCACCTCACACTGCGTCAAAAAGGTTCGGCACTCTGTGGGCTGTCCAGAATAGCAAGGAGGATTGTTAATGCGTTGTTCAGGAGGATTACGTGGCTGAGGCATGGCCGGCTGCTCAGGATGCAGGCTCTGCAGCCGATTGGTTAAATCCTCACCTGGGCTGACAGGCTATCCACGGCAAACCTGGCGGCGGCGAGTTCCTCCTCGTGTTGGCCCAGCATTGCGCCCTGCAATTCCACTGCTGATCGAATTGGAGTCTCCATCGCTGGGTCCATCTGTGGCCAGACTATTCCGTCAGGATAAAAGGACCCGGAAGCAAAGACAAGTCAAACAGAGGATTTATTGTCCACAAAAACAAACTTAGGCAGTCTGCCATTCACTGGCTGTATTTGGCGGTTGCAGAACTGGACTTTAACACAGGAGCACTGGAACATAAGGGTTGACTTGACTTGAGAGTTCGGGGCACCACCCCGAGCTGCAGGTCAAGGAGTGACTACCTCTTAGACTGTACAGACCAGAGGACAGCGTCCGGAGGAGAGCGAACTGCTGGCAGAGGGTAGCTGGAAAACTGGGCAGAAATCCAGGTAAGTCACACGACAGGACTTGACTAGACAGTGCAGAACTGGACTCGACTGGATCTCACAAATGACGGAAAAGAGAGCCAAGATACTGACATGAAAGCACAATAATCTGGCAAAGAGCCTTGTCACATGCAGAGAGAAATAGAGAGGTAAATCAGCGTAAAGAGGGAACAGATGCGGTCCCAATCAGCGCAAGTGCTGATTGTAATCACGAACAGCTGAGTCTAGGATAGCAAATAGAGAAATAGAGAAGAAAAAGAAAACTAGAGGCAAACCCGACTTATGACATTAACACCGTCACATTTCCTTGATTCAACCAGCTGTACAACGTGACACCGAGAGCAGAATCCTGTCTTCAATCCAGAAATCTGTGGCTAAACCAGTGCTGTTCGGCAGCTCAGTGTGTTCATTACTGGCGTCTCACGGTGCAGCATCTTTTAGCGCGTGTTCGAAACCCACACCAACACAGACTTTTTTGTTTATTTTCCGTTCTTAAGTCGCTACGGGCGATCATACCAATAATTTGTAATCTTTACAAGAATATCAAAATCATGTAATGAGCAAGTGTGCATTTATTAGACAGCTTAATATCACGTCAGTGATATGTCATCTGGAGTGGAGACCTGAACCAGGAAGTTGGTCACCAGATAACATGGTTAAACCGTTACACCGGCATCAATTCTTGTAGGGTAAAACGTAATTACGCTTTCGAAACGGTCTGTTTTGCCCTGCCATCATTAGCTGAAGCTGTGTGTAAACAAGAAGCGGCTGCAGAGTGTGAGTCTGTGAGATGCTCCGTCTCTCAAGGCTGATTTATACTCGACGCGTCCGCAAGTTCGCTTGGGTGGCACGGCAAATATGACTTCATTCCCTTTCAGTGTGCGCAAACTCATTTCACATGGCGGTGTGCACTGCATTTTTTTTTACTTTCTGTGCAGCTCCGCATCCGAAGATGCACGAGTTCAGGGCGATTCTAGCCGAACATGCACGTCTGTGCCGGCGTTTGTGTGAAACAGAAGCAGTTTAATGTGATGTTCAAACTCCATCAGGTGCTTTTTGATGCTTTGACGGAAAACAATGCATAGTTTGTCCAAGGCTTTTTATTTGAAGTAAGTTTTATTTTTATTGTATAAAAATAGAATTAGAATTCATTTAGATATCATTTATACACTATTTGCTTAAAGTTGTCTTGTGTTTGATGCGAAATGAACCCAAAAGCTTTTTTTTTTTAAATTTGAATCCGTTTGTAAGAAATGATTAATTCATCAACTCAAAGCGACCTTCCAACACAAATGACTTCTTCTCACCAGTGATTCCCGATGGTTTTAGAGCCCAATTACTCGTCGCCCGATCGGCCCTGTCCCAAATGGCACCCTAAACCTGCACTTTCGTGACGTAATGCCGCTAGAAGTAAAGTCCCAGTGCGGTTTTATTTTTATTGTATAAAAATAGAATTAGAATTCATTTAGATACTGATTATACACTATTTGCTTAAAATTGTCTTGTGTTTGATGCTAAATAAAGGCAATAGTTTAAGATTGTTTTAAGTTTGTACATAAAGAAATTATTAATTCATCAACTCATTCATCACTCGAGAAGACTTGTACCGGCCATAGACTGTAAAAAAAGATGGATGACGTGTCTTCTATTCCTTCCACAGTAGAAAAGTGAAGCCAAAACTTCTCAGTATGGCCACTGCCATCTTGAGTAAATGACGTCATTTACTTCCGAGTCTGTGCAGTATAGATTCGTTTGGAGCCAGAGTCTGCGCAGTAGTGTCGTGAGGTGGAGCCGCGGTATCAAACTCTGCCCAAACTCCCGCAGACCCAATCAACTACAACGACACGCCCCGTTTTTATAGCATCAAATTACTAGCTAAAATCATACTTATCACAAAAACAAACAATTTAACATATATCAGCGTGATTTAACATATATCAGCGTGATACCTTAAATTACCAAAATCATCTTTCGGAAAAATGTATTGGAAGTGTAATTAATTTTTTTATTTTGACTCAAGTCCCATTCGTTTTCATGGAGAGGGCGGGGTTTATGACCTGTACTGCAGCCAGCCACCAGGGGGCGATCAAAGAACCCGCAGCTTCACTTTTCAGGACGTGTGAGGCACACCCGGTACCGGCAAATTACTTCTCACCGGTGATTCCCGATGGTTTTAGAAGAAAATTACTCCTCATCACCCCCTGTCTTTTCAAAGAATAGTACAACGGCGAATGCGACAAGTATAAAAGTTTGGGAAGGTGCGCGCGCAGTCAGCGGAGGCTTGCGGAGCGCAGCCAGGCGAAAGTATAAATCACGCAGCCCAGAGAGAGATTCTCCGGCGTTCCACAACAATGCTTAGCTGCCCGCAGATGCGCCTGCCTATAAATTGGCCTAATTTGCAGCACAATCGGCCGATGCCGATTAATTAAAAAATGCCAAAAATTGGCAGATTAATCAGCCGGCCGATCAATAGGTCGACCACTAATCCAGTGTGTGATTTAAGTTTTCCCTTAATTTTTTTTTAAAAGTGTATACATAGCTGTGCGGCATACTGGACATTATCTGCTCATTGTGACATTGAGACTTTTCTCAACATTAATGACTTTTCTCTTCCTCAGACGACCACTGCACCTATTTACTGCTCATCTTACCTTGTGTCCTGCTGGACCTGTCTCACCACGTTCACCCTTGCCAGGCGGTCCTTGTTCTCCTCTCTCTCCCTACAAAATATTTTATTTATTTATTTATTAATTATTTTTACAGTGATGTTTTTTTTGACCAGCTAAAACCAGCTTAAAAGGTACACATTTTGATATTACAAAAGTGATTTAGATCAGTGGTTCTCAACCAGGAGACCATGGTACACTGTAAAATTCCAGGTTATCCTCAATAAGTGTTAAAATTATTTACATATAGTTATATTAAAAATCTTAATTAACATAATAATAATAATAATATTATTATTATTATTAATAATCCATATAATCCATAAATAATCCATAATATTTATGATTTTGTATATTTTTATTACAGTAGAAGTACCAGAAGTACATTTTTGACCAGCTAAAACCAGCTTAAAAGGTACACATTTTGATATTACAAAAGTGATTTAGATCAGTGGTTCTCAACCAGGAGACCATGGTACACTGTAAAATTCCAGGTTATCCTCAATAAGTGTTAAAATTATTTACATATAGTAATATTAAAAATCTTAATTAACATAATAATAATAATATTATTATTATTATTAATAATCCATATAATCCATAAATAATCCATAATATTTATGATTTTGTATATTTTTATTACAGTAGAAGTACCAGAAGTACATGTCAGCTTAGATGGAAAGGCCTTCAAATATTGTCTTGGACAAAGGGGACTTTGAAGTCAAAGCTGAGATTCACTGACTTAAACCACTCGTCAATCAGTACTGCATTATTCATAAAACACACATAAACCGTATATTTTCACAATCGTGTGTTTATTGTCTTCATGTTTTTTTCTGCTTTTTATTCAGCTCAGCTACAGCTATAGCCGGATGCTTTTGTCCATATTAGGGTTTCCTGCACGTCATAAGTCATTCCTTCTATGAGTCTGTTTTGGACTTTCTGCAGGAGAGCGCCCTCTGGCTCGAGTATGAATTAAACATACACTGCATCCAGATATTCACTTCTCATTTTGGATACGAATAAAACGTCAGGTCATGCATAGACTATCGATACTGTCTCTTTGAATTTAAATCTAGAAACCTCTATGTGAACACACCTGCCCGAATAAAGTGCGGGGGACGAAATTACATTTCTTTAAAATTAAATATTAAAAATGCAGCTAACGTTCTACACACAGCAATATAAACAAAGGTGCCTGTTCTCTTTCGTTCTTGCTGTTTGATTGGGAAAAGTTTAAAGGGCGTCGATGGGTCTTGTCTTCATGTTATCTGACTAAAAAACTATTACTTTGACCTTTTTTTGTTACAGTATTTATTTAAAAATGTAGAGTGCCTTAAAAATAATCATGACAACCCTGTGACAGGCTTTTTCTCATCCTCCGATTTATAGGCTACTTATCAATCCTGTTTTTATCATCATTATAATTTAAACAATGAATAAATTCAGAACAGGATTATAATACAATTCTATTTTAAATAAGACAGAAATATTTTTTCTACAACAACAACAGTAGCCTAGTGTTTACAACAGCAAAACCACCATACCCTGTAAACTCAATAATAATAATAGGCCTAATTTAATTCCATT